GACAAAAATCTGTTTACCCACATAATACGATAGGATAACAGCTGTACTTCAAAATTTTGGGCTTTCAGTCCCCCCTCGCTAGGAGACTTTTGAATAACTTCCGATTTAACTTTCGGAGTACTACCATTCCATAAAAAAACTATTAATGTCACGTTGTATTTTAATTACATAACATTTTGGTACATGTGTAGATGAAATGACATAAATAAGCTTCGATATTGCAAGTGATTTAAGAATTACAATTTTACCGATCAAGGAAAGGTTTCTGATCCTCCACAGTTTAATTATTGATTCCATTTTTTCTATGCATGTATCTAAATTAGAACAAACCATTTCTTCAAAAGCATTAAATTTTAAACCTAAGGTTTTAAAACCATCTGTCCATTTAATAGGAAGGGAACCTTCTTTGTTAAATTTATTTCTTCCAATCCATGTTGCTTCGGTTTTAGAAAAATTGACTTTTAACCCTGAACACTTCTCAAAATCGTTAAAGAAATCTAATAAAATTTGCGCGGAAAATACATCTTTCAAAAAACAAGTGGTGTCATCAGCCAACTGTGAAATTTTTATTTCAGTGTTTTGGTCTTATTGGGTAGTTGTTTCATTGGCAGTCATAACGCAACTTACATGTTTTGTTTTCACCGGAACGCACACAGATGTATTCAAGGAAAAAACATTAACATTTTAAATCAACTCATCTCAGTTCCAGTCAGTGTATAGAAATAAAACTTTAAAGATAAGTGCGTCTGATTTATGGATTTAAATTCATCAGCTACATGTAAGTTAAACTAAAAAAAGGAGATAAGTATGGAAAATGTGAAGAGCTATATGAACAGAAGGGACTACATAGAGTTACCAATTCTATCAAAGGTCAACTTTGCCCGCACATATACACACTGCTTAATATCATCCGCATACACATAGGAAGATCGCATCAAGGCAGAGGTTCATGCACACAATAGTTTAATCAAGACCCATCCAATTACAGAAATAACAATACACAATTAACACCATGTTACAATAGCATACAACACTGTTATATTTAATGTAGACTTTGGTAACATTACATATAAGATGAATAGTAGGTTACCACTTGTCAAAACTCGTAAAATTACTTTTAATAAACGATTCGAGAGATATAAAAGATGGAACCGAAGTCCATAAGATACATTAATGTAAGCATCAAATGCTCTACATGGATAATTCAAAATGTCGATATAGACTTAGTAAAATATATCACAATAGGAAAAGGGTACAATCTGTAAATCAATATATCAGACCACCTTGACCTTAGATGAATTTGGGTATTTGTTGCAGGTCCCTTTTGGTCATAAACTCTTACACCATGTACACAGTGTACGTATGTTTACATCCCTGGCCGTTAAATGTTTATTTTTTAGCGTTCCTGATGAAGGTAAATTCCGACGCTCCAAATTTATAAAGGTTATTTTTCTCCATTAAAATATAACACATAATCGTTTTGGTCTACTAATTACAATGGTGACAGTAAAGCTAGTATTATAACGATTAAAGAATGGCAATTTAGAATATCATAAATGATAGTCCTTTTTAGCGAATGGTCAGATTAGAATCAAACAAAAAGTTTGATATGGTTGTCAATAATGTTAAGATGAATAGAAACTGTTTAAGTATACGTTATTTCATATCTAATGATTTCTTTGAAAATAAAATTTTAGAAAACTCCTAAAAAAATATTTACTTTCAACAGAACTTTAGTCGATTTGATAAAATATGCACCTGATTCTTAATGTAACTAAAGTAATGTTATCATTAGATATTTATTTTGTCTTATCAACCTTATTGTTTAAAATCGCGGACATTTAAAATGAAAACAATCCTATCAAATTTCAATGTATTAAAAAATCCATAGTTTTCGTGGCGTACATTACTTAAAGTGCAACAGACAGCATTTATGTATATATTCAATGACTCTACCATTTAAATCTGTATACCTCCCTATTTTGATAACACAGAACCACCTATTATTTTGTATACATACAAAAAACCCAGCAGAAGAGTCATTTTAATTATACGTCAGTAACATCAGACGTCAGTGTAGAAAATAATACTCCTCTAACTTGAGACTATGAATCGTCGAGTTTTAGATATGATCCCTATGGCCATGTTATTACTGGGGACCTAAATATCGTTGAAGACTGAGAGGTTAAATATTGTTTGAAAAAAAGACCAAAATATCATCCTTCATCAAAATTAGATTGGAAACAGTGTCGTAAGGTCACATCAGACGCTCTTTCGTCATATTGTAAAAATTGGTGTAAACGGGAAAAATATAATAAAAAATCTCTTGATTCTTATCTAAATAAATGTATGATTGTTGTGGATATTCGAATATTAAATTTGGAAAATAATTCAGAAATAAATAAAATAGTACATAACACGCCTATTTCTAGAATAAGAAACAAACTTCAAGTACTTTCAAAGAGGTTTGTGTTTGTACCGGCCGACAAAGAAGCCAACAATGTGGTGGTCGTAAATACTACACGGACGTTCTTAAGAATGACATTTTAAATTCTTCTACATTCAAGTCCGTGCACTCCACAGAGAGTCATATAGTAAACAATCATATCATAACCAAATCACAGCTTAAGGCCTCTTCTGAACATTTGAATGTCCCTTCTATGTATTGGTTACCTTAACTACACAAAAAAACCAGTAACATATCGTTTCATCTCGGCCTCTAGTAAGTGTTCTACAACTAATCTTTCAATTCTTTAACTAGTTCCTTAACTACTATCAAAGAACTAATCAGTAACTGTTGTAATAAAATATATGAAAATAGTGGAATTAACTATTTTTGGAGTGTAAAAAATTCATTGGAAGTTTTAGATAAATTACGTGCTTTTGATGGTCCTTTTGATTCTGTTGACAGTTTTGATTTTTCAACTTTTTACACTACACTACCACATAATCTTATCAAACAAAAGTTTTCCTATTTAATCCAATGGTCGTTTGGTAAATCCAAATGCAAATATATTTGCTGCAACTCATTTGAAGCCTTCTTCTCTAATGAGAAAGGTAAATATGCTAAATATACTTACTAGGGGTGTGTTGACATGATTGAAGCTGTCAATTTTCTCCTTGATAATATTTATGTACGTTTCGGCATTAAAGTTTATCGAAAGGTTGTAGGTATTCCAATGGGCACCAATTTCGGCCCTTTACTAGCAGACTTGCTCTGGTATTGTTGTGAATCACAGTTTATGACCTTACTCAGTAAAGACCCGTCTAAATTGCATTTAATTGATAAATTCAACAACACTTACCATTATTTTGATGTTATTTTGTCGTTAAATAACCAACAATTTTATAAATATACTGCCGAAATTTACCCAAAGGAACTTACTTTGAATAAATCAAATATAAACGATAATAACTGTCCTTTATTAGATTTAGATATTTCAGTTTTACACGGGAATCTCTACACTAAAATTTACGACAAAAGGGACGAATTTTCGTTCCTTTTGTTAATTTTCCTTTTTTGGACGATGATGCTACTTTGGCACCATCTTACTGTGTTTATATATCACAACTCGTTCGCTATGCCCGTGTCTGTTGTGACGTTTTGGATTTCAATGAACTTAATCCATATATTAGTGGTAAATTATTAAGTCCGGGATTTCGTTACCACAAATTACTTAAAACCTTTACTCAAATCTTCCATAGATATAAACATTTGGTTTTGAAGTTTGGTTGTACAAGGTCATGTTTTTCTCTGACTGTTAATGACGTCTTTACACTAAATCCATTGGATGTTGGATGAGTACTGATTGATATTTTAGTCTTAGATGCATGATTTTTTATTTGTTGTTATTGGCTTTGAACTAGCTGTCAGAAACTGCAAGTACTCTCAGATATGTATTTAGTATCTTTTTGCTGTGGGGATGTATGAGTTCCCTCCCACGTCCACTGTTTTTGTTATATATATTTCTGTTTGTATCCATTTGATGAGTTAAGCCTTTTTCAACTAATTTTAATAGTTTGTTCTTATGCTGTACTGTTACATCACTGTCCCAGGCTAGGGGGAGGGTTGGGCGCCCGCTAACATCTTTAACCCCGCCACATTATGTATGTGGCTGTCCCAAATCAGGAGCTTGAAATTCAGTGGTCGTCGTTTGTTGCTGTATATCATATTTGTTTTTCGTTCATTATTTTGTACATAAATTAGGCCGTTAGTTTTCTCGTTTGAAATGTTTTACATTTGTCATTTCGGGGCCTTTCATAGCTGACTGTCCGGTATGTGTTTTGCTCATTGTTGATGGCCGTACGGTGACATATAGTTGTTAATTTCTGTGTCATTTGGTCTCTTGTGGAGAGTTGTCTCGTTGGCAATTTTACCACATCTTTTTATTTTTATATGAGATACTATATCAGAAAAATACACGTCTAACGTTAATGAAAACAACAAGATACACTTCATGTTATACATTTTGTGTAATATAAATGACGCACTGACTACTATGTTGATGATACCTTCGGGGTCAAGGATGTATTAAACCTAAACACATGAAGAGCTGTATGACCAAAAGAGACCTTAAACTAGCCTACGTAATGCCATTTATAAAAGGGGATTCCTAACCCAGTATAAAGGTGGGGGAGGGGGGGGGGGGGAGGGTTGTTCCAACTATATGTCCCCATTCAAATGCATTGATCGTAAAGAAAGAAAAGGAGAAAAAAGCCAGTACAAAATTGTTACATGAAACCAGAATCTCTACTAGTTATTTAATAATTAGAATTCATGAAATAGAATGTTTAAAATGCGAAAGTAATTACACTGTTTTTTTTGTGTTTTTTAAACGGAAATAAATTTGTTGAAATCCCAGGGGCCAGTGTTTACAATACTCCATCGTCCAGGGTTCAACGATATAAAACAAGTAGTGTTTCTATATTAAGTGCGTTAGTTATATTCCTATTCATTACACAAAAAAAACCCAATCAAACAAAGATCTTTTAAAGTCATAAAATACAACAAAAGACACACTACAATCTTATTCGCTTTACCTTTACTAATAATTGCCATTTAAATGTTTTGTTTAGCTAGAACCTGCAGTTCGTCGTAATGTGACTGTCAGTGATGTGCCCGATGTTTTTCTTTTAATAGTGGTTATTTCTTTTGGGGATTTATAATGTTCCAGATATGAAAAGAAGGTAAGTACAATATGATAAGTAATTAATTCATGGTATAGGGTTTACAATAACTTTGATGTTAACTGCATATTTTTCCTTTTGTAAAAATAATGACGTATCTATTGATTCAATTAAATTGTAGAGCTCCCGTTTCGCTTATATGACATCAATTGGCTAGAAGTCATACTATTAAGGCTTTTGTTTGATTAAATTTCGACATTTCCATATAACACATTTGATTATACTAAATGTGGTATTGTTATTGACATTGTATTTGTTTTCCAATTTTTATTGTACATTCCTAGTGTGACAAAATCTTCCCCTCATTGAATAACTGCAGTGTTATTCAGCACATTATGCATTGTAGGTACAACAAATATATTCCCAAACAACCTTTATAATGTTATAACTATGAAAACGATGTGTAAGGGTTTAGTTTTCTGTTTTACCAAAATGCCATTAACTGTTGAAATTACCCATTCTAAACAGGTTTTTCTCTGTGTAGTAGGGATTGTGGGAAACAGTGGATTATGTCCGATTTTGATGATTCTTTGTAACGTTTGTCTTGTTAACGTTAATAATTTGCTGCACAAACACAAACACATTGCCCTTAGGCTTATGAACATTTTGCTATTGCACAAATATGAAATAAGAAAACATAAGAGATTGAGCATTTTATGCCCTGAATCGTTTAAGACAGGTATAAAGTCAACATAAAGGTGTTAAGCAGCAAAAAGTGCATTTATTTCAAATTTATTGAAACATTTAAGCTTTTGTGGAAAATTCGTACTTTATACCAATCCCATTCAATCAACACATACAACTGATTAAAATTTGTCTATCGTTTACAAAGAATATTTTTATACAAAAAGCGCCTCCCATTTGATGATTATTCTATCATAAAAAAACAAATTACGCCGTCTATTTTTAGCATGCTTACGTCGTCCATTTTATCTGAAAAAAGAAAAAAGAAAAGAGCATTGATCATGTTAATTTCGAACATTTAAGGAAAGTATGGTGCTAACCTTACTAAGAATAATAGATATTATGGCATGTGAAATCAACAGCATGAGAAACAAGCTATGAAATCATTTTGTTTTACAAGGTCTTTTGGTAATTTTGGTAAACCAAAATATAATTCATTTACATGGATTTGTGATCACTAAATATATGCAGTGAACAAAAACTGTTTGAGAAATAATACGGCGATGTTACTGACTTCTATAAAATAACATTGACAAAAAAGAATTCGCGTCTTCGTGATGTTCGTTTTTTTAAAAGCTAGGAACGTATAAATCAAACTTTATCAAAATAGTATTGTGGTGGCCCTTTTTTGTACTGTGCGTAAATTAAGATAATTTTGGCATGGTTTTAGTAATGCGGTTGTTGAACGATGGACTAAAATGAGAAAATAATGTTTTATTAAACGGACAATTCTGAAAACAAACAATATTATCATAATAAAATGTGTAAGTTTATATTTTTGCGAAACTTACCTCGTTGCTATTATCGCAATAATGAAGAATGCAGCCATTTCTGAATTGACAGTAGTTAATTGTCATTTGAAACATATTTGTTGTGAATTTAACGCGTTATTTATTAAGACAAGTAAAAGCCTATCAAATGATAAAAAAAGTTGCCATTATAACTATTATAACTTGTGATTTAAGACTTATAGATACCATTTTCCAATCATTTGTCTCTGAACATAAATTGCACTTTGCCGCCGCAAATTTCAAGTAATGTGTTTGAAAAATGTCATGCACACATCACTTTCTGTATGGTTCGTAGATGCGTGGTTGCACCATAATGAATTATTCATTAATTTAGAAAAACATGACAGAATGAGGTGTTGCAGAGCGAGTAATCACAATTCCCTTAATCCTTTTCTTTATATACGTATTACTGTTTAAGACCAGCATTGAATAAGTGTAGGTAAGAAATAAGTCTTTCGTGCCATGTCATATGCCCATTTTAACATAAAAGTTTAATGCTGCACCGCTTCTATTGTCAAGTTATATAATATTTATAATTTATCATACCTAATACACAATCAACACACTTTCAAGTGTAATCATTATACTATATTATGATATTCGAATCAAATGTATTTTTCAATATCATTCAACACCGTTTTTTGTTCTCAAATTTTAAGAAAATGAAAACGATAAATTAAAAATCAAATATGAAATTAAAAAAAAAGAAAATACCGGTAAACAATAAAATACTTTAGATTACAATCTTCACAAAAAAATTAGTGTATGCGAAGAGAAGACTGAATTCAGAATTCGTTAAAGGTTTGAAATATCTATTAGCAACTGTATGATCTGATTTTGTTTTGTTATAAATGTTCTTTCTTGTCAACTTTAACATGAAGGCTAAAATTGTTGAAAATATTTGCGTCTTTATTCTCTATAATTTACACTTCAAATTGGATGTAACCTATTCAAAGACAGACATTCTAGATGTAAATGATTACAGTGAAAATCACGTTTACGGACAATCCAAAGTAAAATATCGTTTAAATGGAATATAACACTAGATATAATCACCGACATTGGTGTCATACTGTCACGATACAGTTGTTTCCTTGTTAGAAGATTGTATTGTTTTTGTTCAACTGAATAGTTTCCTTGTTAGCAGATTGTATTGTTTTCTTTCAATGGCACAACAAAGTTAAGTATCGTGTTTCGGTGTAAATAGAAGTACATAGTTTCTTAAGAACAATTAAAAAAACAAAAATATTCTATCAGAAGATAAAGTACTACAAAAATTTACCTTCTTTGTGTTTCTTTGTTTAAACACTTGAATACCAGAACTTAGAGCACTGTTGCTGACTAATCATTTATCGGTTACAGCATGATATATATACTCGATAGAAAATTACTAAACATATCTTTGGTTTTACTGTGTTTCAGTCAATAAAATACTCTCGTTTGCAACCCCTTAAAAAAATGGGAAAAAAGCGAATAAGATGTATCCAGTTTCCTTATTTGTAACTATGAATTACCAATATTTATATTTTGCACAACTTAGATATATGATTTTAAAGGAAAATGTATGCCCAATTGAATTTGGAAGCCTTTCTATGTTTCTGAATTGATAATACTAATTATTAGGAAAACAGCTAAACTGATTTTATTATCCCACCAATGGCTAATGGAATTTTGACTATTTTGGGACGGTTTTTTCTATGTGTTTGCTTTTGAGATATGTTTTATTTTCCGTCAAATTAAAGTTTGGTTTCAGACATTCTTTTTCCAAAAGTTTTGTTCTTCATCTTCATATTTGATTTATGTTTTGTGAGTTAGTTTGATATAGTTTATCTTTTATTTACTTAGTTTTTGTTGTATGACAAATGAATTTTGTTTATTACGACAAAAATGCCAATCTTACTCGCCATCGCACTTCCATGAATAGACACGCTTTTTAACATACTAGTAGTTATTGGAATCAATGTTTATAATCTTTGTTGTCTTTGGTTTTGGGTTTGCTGATTAAAATACTTTGCACTTCAAACGAATCAAAGGTATTAATTATTAATTTTTCAAGATAGCTACTCAAAAACGATAAATGTTAGAACCTCTACTTGAATAACAACACTCATGCATAGCCTCATTGCGTACTACGTAAAATTCTGCAATTTCAAGCATTCATAGCTATTTTGTCTTAAGGTCAAATAAAATGGCACTAATTTCATGTAAACAATATACTTTACCCTGACTTGTGCTGAAAAATTCAACATACCTCTAATTGCATATTAGAGAGTACTGGTTCTGAGAAGTTTAGTAGTACAAAAACAGGTACTGATCTAAACAACAGGGCAAATATGCCCTCTTATCATAATTTCATATATCTTTATATCATCAATAAGAAACTTTCTTCAAGGGTTCTTCAGTACTCTTAGGTCCTTAAGCGTACATTTCATGCCAGAATTACCCAATAGTTTACTTATTGAGAAAGTCACAGATATGCGTATAGGGACTATTTTTTTAAATATGTACTACTTTCTTGTTTGTTCTTTCAGACCGGGCCCGAATGAGTGATTCTATGCCTTTAACAGCAGTACACTTTGTATAATGACATCTGCTTTACCTTATTACCTACTATGATCTATTCTAGCAAAGAAAAACCCACAAAGCTTTTGTTCAAACACTATTTCATTGAATTCAAGCTCAAAATAGACCGGTAGTAACAGATGCTATATGCAAAGCAAATTGCAAATGAATGATAAATATAACCAATATGAGACTCTTTCCATTATTACCAGTTCTTATTTGTTACTATTTACTCAAATAACAATGTTCTTACCTATATGTCTTATTTTTATCAGATATTGTTCATTGAATATAAATAGAGGTATATTGATGTATCAAATACTCGTATGAAGTGTGTTATATCCCTTGCATAATCAGCTATTCCTGTCGATTTCATGATAATGAAATAAATATATCTTTTGTGTGGCATGTTGACTTACAATTTAACAATATCAAATGTTTTAATGAGAAGTGAATTGTTTCTTTAAGTCAATGAAAAATGTGCCTTTCAGCGTCTCATGTAAGCAAAAATTGTGGATGTGCCTTAAAGAAGTGCCCCAGCCCCGTGCCAGTAATACATTCAAAAATCAAAAATTGTTGCTGATTTTAATAAATAATGGTAATCTCGAACCAACTGTGATAACTAGGTTTTTTTTTTATAAAAGACAACTAACCTTCATTTTCATAGTTTGCTCAGGTGCACAAGATGCAATCATTCATATATCACTCTGACAACTTCTAAAATAAAGTATAAACATTGAGTTAAGATGCCCAATTTATTTCATGTAGGCGGTAATGGTAGCCTTGTTCTACATATGAAGGATATCCCTATGATTGTTGTACTAGATATTATATAGAATGATGGACTTTTTTATGATTGTTGAACTTGGGAATATATAGAATGATGGATATTATGATTGTTGAACTAGAGACTATGTAGAATGATGATATCCCTATGATTATAGAACTAGCGAATATATAGAA